ATCCGAGCTCTAGATATCCGACCAAAAATCAGAATATCCGCGGATCCGAAATTGATATTAAAAATAATTAATAAATAAATAAATAATATATTTTTAAAAATTATTAGTTAATTTAAATGGTATTTTTCATTATAAATATAATTTATTATAAAAAGAACTAAAATCAATATATATATATTTATATAAAATTAGTTTAATAGATATATAATATATACGATTTTAATATATTTAACGCGTCCGGATCTAGATCTGGATATCCGGACCTTAAAATTTTGTTATCCGGATCCAGATGCTCTTTTCACGGATCCTAGATATTACTATTCTTATCCGGATCCGGACTCTCCGTATATCCTAATTTTCGGAGCTATTCCGAGCGGATAACGGATCGGATCTCGGATACCGGATAATAATTCCACCCCTAGTAGCGACATACATGGTGTATGTGTATGGGTGGAGAAATAAAGAGATCACACGCGCGTCACAGCCTCCAAACCGAGCCAAGTCGGACTTAGACTCTTGAGAATTCCTCGGCGAACCGAGAATTTTGTTTGGACCAAATCCATTAGAAATGTTTATTTATTAGTAACATCTCGCTCACTTCCCCACTTCAACAAAACATAACTGAGATTCTCTCCACGTGATAACATTATCAATTATTTCTGAATTTTTGAACTGCTCCTCGGCTTTTAAAAAGCCATTTCATCTCTCATTTTATTCACTCTAAAATTTATCATCATAACAAAACAACAATCTCTCTTTCAGTCGAAAGTAAGTTTTATTCGAGAGTATCGTAGAATATAGTTCGATGGGGCCGTGTTTCGAGTGATAGAGAAAACAGTTTAGTGGTTGTATCCTGAAACTCTTGAATCTCAGATTTTAGTCGCATTGCGGATGATTCAAAGAGTTAAAGGAAATAAATCTATAGTCTCGTCTCCACTGTTTCTCTTCCCTTAACGTTTCTATTTTCGTTATTTTATCGACATTATCATAGTGCTCCATTTTCTGGTCCTACAATTAGTAAATTACCAGTGACACAAGAGCTAATAGTATTTGCATTTTACAAAAATCCTTAATTAGATTTGATAATGAGCAGGTGGTATAAGGCATGGGAACTGTTTATATTGTTGTGGGCAATATACTCCTCTTTGTTCACTCCCATGGAGTTTGGTTTCTTCCGCGGTCTGCCTGAGAATCTCTTTATACTTGACATTGTTGGCCAGATCGCATTCTTGGTCGATATTGTTCTTCTATTCTTTGTAGCATTCCGCGATAGCCAGACCTACCGGACTGACTACAAACCGACACATATTGCTGTCCGGTTAGTTCTATATATATTACAAGCTTTAAGCATGCATTTCGTCATTTGTGATTATAACGGAGGAATCTTGTCTTATCGCATCTTGTTTCTCAGGTACTTGAAGTCGAATTTTTTCCTGGATTTGGTCAGTTGTTGTCCCTGGGATCTTATCTACAAGGTATCTTACATTTGCTTTATAGCATTACTCAGTTCTCTAAAAAAATTAATGACTTTGTAGCATTTTTTTGTTTTGTTAATAACGATAGAAAATTGAAATGAATTTCGGTAGGGTTTCATTTGGCTTCTGTTTTATTTGACTTTTTAAAACTTTGGGGCCGCTTGGTAATAGCTGTGACTACAGACTTTGACCGTAGAAATTTTGGCTTTAAATGCTGTGAAACAGTAACTATTATTCTAATAATTATTTAAAAATTACCGATAACTTTTTTTGTCAAATATATAGTTATGATATAGATAACATGCACATAACTACTAAAATTTATTTATATTATTAGCATAACTAATCAGTTCCAAAATAATTATAGATAAACAAAAACAAAAATATAGAAATAATTTAGATTAAAAGTATTTTAAATAAATAAATCTCAAATAAATAAATTTCATATATATATATAAATAAACAAATCTCATTTATATATAAATATATATATATATATTATTCTGTGTTTTTGTCTACTAACAAAAAAATTATTGGAACGGAGTAAAAAGAAGTTGGATGAAATTCTTAAACTTGTCAATTTTTCTTATAAATGTATTATTGTATTTAATGGATAGTAAGAAAATTAATCATTCTGTAGCAAAATTTTAAATATGTTTAAAATGGATCTCAAAATAATAGAAAAAAATAGATGAGGATTAATCAACCAAAAGATTTTAGTAAAAAACTATATATAAATCTATAAATACTTTTAAATAACTTTCGG